GTATTCCTCCTTTAGAGGGACTGGGGGGGGGGGGGCTGTGTACCCAAGGTCTGAAAGCCCATTTGTAAATGTTTGGTGCAGGGGGTTAAGTGCAGGCGGACTCTAATCTAGGAGAACCGGGTTTGATCCCCCACTCCTCCACTTGCACCTGGTTGGATGACCTTGGGCAAGGCACAGTTCTGATAAGAGCTGTCCTTGGAAAAGAGCAGTTTCTGTCAGAGCTCTCTCAGCCCCTGCCTACCTCACAGGGTGTCTGTTGTGGGGAGGGGAAGGGAAAAGGAGTTTGTGAGCCGCTCTGAGACACCTTTGGGCACTGAAGGGCAGGGTATAAATCCAATCTCCTCTTCTTCTTCTCTGCTACTGAGTGGACTCTAATCTGGGAGAACCGGGTTTGATTCCCCACTCCTCCTCCACTTGCACCTGGTTGGATGACCTTGGGCAAGCCGTAGTTCTGACAAGAGCTGTCCTTGAAAAAGAGCAGTTTCTCTCAGAGCTCTCGCAGCCCGCCGACCTCACAAGGCGCCTGTAGGGAGGGGAAGGGAAAGGAGACTGTGAGCCGCTCTGAGACTCCCTTGGGTAGTGAAGGGCCATGGGGTACAAATCCAATCTCTTCTTTTTCTGTAAAAAGGGGGGGGAGTATCAAATCTGTGTAAATGTTGAACACCGATGAAGAGCAGTGTAGTCAACCAAGGCAAACTGTTGGGATTCTTTCAGAATAAGTCAGCAGAATATTAAGAGACTGAGTCCATGGTGTGTTTTAGAATATAAAAGTTTACTATAAACCTAACATGGGAAAAGGGTACACAGGATATGAAAATAACAAAGAGCTAATATGGCTACATCCTTACAGCTTAAAGGTAAAACGGGGAAGAGCCGAATGGCGTCTCAGTCAGAACAAAGAACGGGAGGAGAAACCAATATGCTAAATACCTGACACCTTGGTTTCCAATCAGACTAGCAAATTAGCTCCAAAGTTCCCGGGCATTCTGTTGTCTAAACAGATTGGTTACAAACAAACATATGACTTAACAAACATCATTAACCCTGTAAATACCAGACATAAGAACATAAGAGAAGCCCATGTTGGATCAGGCCAATGGCCCCTCCAGCCCAACACTCTGTGTCACACAGTGGCCAAAAACACCAGGGGCCCTCAGGAAAGGTCCACCAGCGGGACCAGAACTCCAGGAGCCCTCCCACTGTTGCCCCCCCCCAAGCACCAAGAAGACAGAGCATCACTGCCCTAGACAGAGTATTCCTCTCAAGCTACATTTCCCATCATTATACTTATGACATATTCCTGTTTTGTTTCTGCTGATGCTTCTACAAAGGCATGCCAGGGATCGGGTCCCTCAAACCCGAAGGAGGGCAAGCCTGGCAGCAGGGCGATGGAGCGGGCAGCCAGAAAGTCCGGCCCTGGGAATCCTTCCCCGGGAAGGGAGGGTGTGGGAGGGGGCCCAGAGGCAGGCAGGCAGCAGCCACCCAGGGCTGGTTCTTAGGCTCTGCAGGGGCTGCTTTGGGAGCAGCACAAACCGGCGGGGGGGGGCAGTGCACATCCCCCCCACATGGCTTGGCTGGTGGCAAGAGAGCTCCCTGTAGGGGAGGGGCCGTGGCTCAGTGGCAGCGCCTCTGCTTGGCGTGCAGAAGGTCCCAGGTGTTCGGTCCCCGGCAGCATCTCCCGTTAAAAGGGCCAGGCAGGAGGGGATGGAAAAGACCTTTCTCTGCCTGGGACCCTGGAGAGCTGCAAAGAGGGGCCGTGGCTCAGTGGCAGCGCCTCTGCTTGGCGTGCAGAAGGTCCCAGGTGTTCGGTCCCCGGCAGCATCTCCCGTTAAAAGGGCCAGGCAGGAGGGGATGGAAAAGACCTTTCTCTGCCTGGGACCCTGGAGAGCTGCAAAGAGGGGCCGTGGCTCAGTGGCAGCGCCTCTGCTTGGCGTGCAGAAGGTCCCAGGTGTTCGGTCCCCGGCAGCATCTCCCGTTAAAAGGGCCAGGCAGGAGGGGATGGAAAAGACCTTTCTCTGCCTGGGACCCTGGAGAGCTGCAAAGAGGGGCCGTGGCTCAGTGGCAGCGCCTCTGCTTGGCGTGCAGAAGGTCCCAGGTGTTCGGTCCCCGGCAGCATCTCCCGTTAAAAGGGCCAGGCAGGAGGGGATGGAAAAGACCTTTCTCTGCCTGGGACCCTGGAGAGCTGCAAAGAGGGGCCGTGGCTCAGTGGCAGCGCCTCTGCTTGGCGTGCAGAAGGTCCCAGGTGTTCGGTCCCCGGCAGCATCTCCCGTTAAAAGGGCCAGGCAGGAGGGGATGGAAAAGACCTTTCTCTGCCTGGGACCCTGGAGAGCTGCAAAGAGGGGCCGTGGCTCAGTGGCAGCGCCTCTGCTTGGCGTGCAGAAGGTCCCAGGTGTTCGGTCCCCGGCAGCATCTCCCGTTAAAAGGGCCAGGCAGGAGGGGATGGAAAAGACCTTTCTCTGCCTGGGACCCTGGAGAGCTGCAAAGAGGGGCCGTGGCTCAGTGGCAGCGCCTCTGCTTGGCGTGCAGAAGGTCCCAGGTGTTCGGTCCCCGGCAGCATCTCCCGTTAAAAGGGCCAGGCAGGAGGGGATGGAAAAGACCTTTCTCTGCCTGGGACCCTGGAGAGCTGCAAAGAGGGGCCGTGGCTCAGTGGCAGCGCCTCTGCTTGGCGTGCAGAAGGTCCCAGGTGTTCGGTCCCCGGCAGCATCTCCCGTTAAAAGGGCCAGGCAGGAGGGGATGGAAAAGACCTTTCTCTGCCTGGGACCCTGGAGAGCTGCAAAGAGGGGCCGTGGCTCAGTGGCAGCGCCTCTGCTTGGCGTGCAGAAGGTCCCAGGTGTTCGGTCCCCGGCAGCATCTCCCGTTAAAAGGGCCAGGCAGGAGGGGATGGAAAAGACCTTTCTCTGCCTGGGACCCTGGAGAGCTGCAAAGAGGGGCCGTGGCTCAGTGGCAGCGCCTCTGCTTGGCGTGCAGAAGGTCCCAGGTGTTCGGTCCCCGGCAGCATCTCCCGTTAAAAGGGCCAGGCAGGAGGGGATGGAAAAGACCTTTCTCTGCCTGGGACCCTGGAGAGCTGCAAAGAGGGGCCGTGGCTCAGTGGCAGCGCCTCTGCTTGGCGTGCAGAAGGTCCCAGGTGTTCGGTCCCCGGCAGCATCTCCCGTTAAAAGGGCCAGGCAGGAGGGGATGGAAAAGACCTTTCTCTGCCTGGGACCCTGGAGAGCTGCAAAGAGGGGCCGTGGCTCAGTGGCAGCGCCTCTGCTTGGCGTGCAGAAGGTCCCAGGTGTTCGGTCCCCGGCAGCATCTCCCGTTAAAAGGGCCAGGCAGGAGGGGATGGAAAAGACCTTTCTCTGCCTGGGACCCTGGAGAGCTGCAAAGAGGGGCCGTGGCTCAGTGGCAGCGCCTCTGCTTGGCGTGCAGAAGGTCCCAGGTGTTCGGTCCCCGGCAGCATCTCCCGTTAAAAGGGCCAGGCAGGAGGGGATGGAAAAGACCTTTCTCTGCCTGGGACCCTGGAGAGCTGCAAAGAGGGGCCGTGGCTCAGTGGCAGCGCCTCTGCTTGGCGTGCAGAAGGTCCCAGGTGTTCGGTCCCCGGCAGCATCTTCAGTTAAAAGGGTCAGGCAGGACATGATGGCAACTACCCCAACCTGAGACTCTGGAGAGCTGTAGAGAGGGGCTGTGGCTCAGTGGCAGAGCCTCTGCTTGGCACGCAGAAGGTCCCTGGTTCAATCCCCGGCAGAATCTCCAGTTGAAAAGGGACCAGGCAGGAGGTGGTGGGAAAGACCTCAGCCTGAGACCCTGGAGAGCTGCAAAGAGGGGCCGTGGCTCAGTGGAGGAGCCTCTGCTTGGCGTGCAGAAGGTCCCAGGTGTTCGGTCCCCGGCAGCATCTCCAGTTAAAAGGGCCAGGCAGGAGGTGATGGGAAAGACCCCAACCTGAGACTCTGGAGAGCTGCAGAGAGGGGCCGTGGCTCAGTGGCAGAGCCTCTGCTTGGCACGCAGAAGGTCCCAGGTTCAATCCCTGGCAGCATCTCCTGTTAAAAAGGACCAGGCAGGAGGTGATGCGAAAGACCTTTCTCTGCCTGAGACCCTGGAGAGCTGTAGAGAGGGGCCGTGGCTCAGTGGCAGAGCCTCTGCTTGGCATGCAGAAGGTCCCTGGTTCAATCCCCGGCAGCATCTCCAGTTGAAAAGGGACCAGGCAGGAGGTGATGGGAAAGACCTCTGCCTGGGACCCTGGAGGGCTGTCAAGAGGGGCTGTGGCTCAGTGGCAGAGGTGATGGGAAAGTCTTCTGCCTGAGAGCAGCTGCCAGCCTGAGTAGACCGGGTGGTCTGAATCAGCAAGAGGCAGTTCCATGTGTGTTCATGCAGCAGGCAGGCTTCTATAGGACTGGCATCTTGCCCGAGTGGGTGCCCGTTCTGTCTGTCATATTGTACTTTCAACCAGCTCCTTTGCTTGGCAGATTCACTGCCAGGGAGGGAGGGAGGGAGGCGGGGGGGGGGCATAGTGTTACCTCTAAGCCAAGTCAGTGTGAGCTAGCTCACAGTTTTTTAGCCTCCGGCTCACAGATTTTTTGTCTCGGTTCAGGAAGGAGCAAACTAATTCATGTGGTAGCCAAATTGCGTGCTCACAACTCTGATGCCAGGAGCTCACAAGGTAGAATTTCTGCTCACAAGACTCCACAGGTCAGAGGGAGCCTTGGTAAAGGGAATGAAAGAGCCAGGCTGCCCACTCTGTGTTGGGAAATTCCTGGAGATCTAAGGCTGGAGCCTGGGGTGGGACCATAGAGCCCGCCCTCCAAAACGGCCATTTCCTCCAGCGGGGGATGGACTGTTGTCTGGAGATTCCTGGAGAACTCCAGGCCCCACCTGGAGGCTGGCAACACCGCCTTAGAGAGGTTGGGTCAGCTGGGGCCACTGGCAGAGGATGTGGGGTAGGGTTGCCAGCCGGTTCGGTGGACTGGTTAAGTGGTGGACTGGGAGATTCCCCACTCCTCCTCCACTTGCAGCTGCTGGTGTGACCTTGGGTCAGTCACAAGTTCTCTCACAGCTGCTCTCTTAGGATCAGTCCTCTAAAGAGCTCTCTCGGCCCCACCTGCCTTCCAGGGGGTGTCTGCTGTGGGGAGGGGAAGGAGTTTGTGAGCCGCTCTGAGACTCCGGGGGAAGGGCAGGGGTATGAATCCAATCTCTTCTTCTTCCTCCTCTTCTTCTTCTGTCTGGGAAACTCCTGGAAACTTGGGGGGTGGTGCCCGAGGAGGGCAGGGGCCTCAGTGGGGTACCCATGCCACAGAGCCCACCCTCTCTGGCCACCGACAGGGGATTGGGGGGGGACATGGGTTACTGGTAGGGTTGCCCGCTCTGCCTTGAGAAAGACCTGGAGATTTGGGGGGCGGGGTTTGGGGAGCCCCCCCGCCCGCAGGGGTGTCCTGCCATCGAGTCCACCGGCCGTTCTCTCTCCAGGGGGACTGACCTGGGTCACCTGGAGAGCTACGGGAACAACAGGAGGCCTCCCGGTGCCGCCTGGAGGCTGGCAACCCTAGTTGCCAGGTCCAGGGTTTTTTGGGGGGGGAAGTCCCGGAGATTTGGGGTCTGGGGAGGGCAGGGACCCAAGTGGGGGCACAGAGGCGCAGAGTTCCCCCCTCCCTCCACCTCTGTGGCCTGGAGAGAGGGGCTATAGATTAGGGGGGTGGTCCCCAGGCCCCCCCCCCTG